GAAGTGGATTGACCTCGTTGTCGCAACTTGGTCTTGTTGTCAGGGCAACTTAGTAGAACGCACCTAGTCCAAGGTCGTCTTGATAATAGTTGTCGTGATTCCCAGCATCCGACAGTGGATTCGGTACCTTCTCAAACGCTTCGACGGCATCGTAGTCGGCATCATCAGTGATTTTTGCCATTCTCCGCACCAAGCTATGAACTCGTCAAAAAGAGAAATGAAGTAAATCCCTGGACAAACGTTCTGCCGAAAACGGTTACACTATCACTTCTCTTTCTGTCCTGGCCCATCTATCAACTCTTTACCTTTATATCTAACTCTCGCCCTATCACAACTTCTGACATTTTTACATTCCACTCGCCAAAATGTATGCCCTTTTTTAGCAAGTTTAGTGTGGCCACATCACACCTGCTATTAATTTTCGCCCCCAATCTTTCGATCGGCCAATTCGACTCGAACCTCCTATCTCGATCTCTCTCATGGTTCGGTAGATCAGTTTCTTATTTTTCTTGTTGACCGTCCCACTTCTATGTAGAGTAAGGTTGAGGTATACAACCAACTAAAATCTCGATTTTAGGTGTATAAAAAAAGGGTTGCAGCTGACCACCTTTTCTCTTGGTTTAACATATATTTGCTCTATTTCCTAATGTGTGGAATCTTGCATTAATGATGTGTGTCAGAGCCCACCAAATGCCTGGCACAGTTTGATCTGGGTCTCAGGACCATGTGCAGAGGACTTCCTCGCACAATTCTTTCTTCGGTTTCCGGTAAGATCACATCACGAATTCCTTCCAATCAATTTTACATTAGAAATTGAGACTCATTCCACATTAGTTAATTAAGAAATTCTTCGAAACCCACTTTTTATTCATATCTACCTGATGGGACCTCAACTCTCATCTCTTTTGGCCAATGTATACATTCTCAAATTCTAGAAGTCACCATTGCAACCAAGAATGCTTATGCGATACTTTTATGACTACTTTTCACTTTGGTCGGAAGGTAAGGCAAATTGGAATGAATTCCTCAGTTTTACTAAGCCTAGAATTAAATTCACAATTGATGTAGAAGAGAATGAACAAAAACACTTCCTGGATATTAAGATCATGTGCTCCAACGGGACACTTATGAGTAGACTACAGAAAAAATGCATGTGAGAATAATACTTAATTTTCAGTCTCGCCATAGCTACAGAATGAAGATCGCAATACTGAGGCGTTTTCTCATCAGAAGCTTAAGTCTAACGGACACCGATTTTTGGGAGGAGGATTAGGACAATCTGCCTCGGATTTGCCTTAGTAACATAGCCCCAAAGAATTTATAGAATGAAATGTAGGTGTCATAAAGAGCAGATTTTAACTTGTACTTTATGAAAATCCTATCAGGTGTCTGGATGATATGAATATGCCTACCCTCATGCGGACTAAGCAAATGATGCCACAGTTACTAAGAAAATGGAACATCAAGGTGATGACAAAGGATAAATCAGTTTGCCCACGCAACACGAGAAGACTAACAAAGCGGATTGCTTCGGAGCTTATCGCATCAAATATGGCAACTGTGAGCAGAAGTATATTGGTGAAGCAGGAATAAAAATCAGCCTACGAATCAAGTAGCATCAAAGACTCAGTCACACGATATATGAGGCCAAGACTAGAGCTGGTTGGCAAAAATCAGACTTTTTCATTACAGACGTGGTCCATGAAGCAAAGGTTTGCCGATGATAATTACTACGGATCTACAGCCTTAAGTTAGTCACCCATCCAGATTGAGGATCCAAACTTTATGGGCCTACTCATCGAGGCAGGAGTATACGTGCCATCAACGGCTTGAGGCAGAGTATGGTAAATAACGCCTCGAGTGGCACAGATATGATGGAAAGGGTCAAGTGGAATACCTAAGCCAGGGAGATAGGACCAATGGGAAAAGGATTGCCGACTAATACGGCAGACTCAGTTCGACGTTCCCAGCACAGTGGTAAGGGGGTGGGGTGTGAAGAGGTATCATGAAATCCGCTCAAAAGGGCACACCATACCACATGAAAATAAGCAATTAAGAAATTGTGATAGTGAAGATGTGATATGAGGATAAAGGATAAGCGAAAGGCCCAGAATAAAGGAGAGATACCACAAATGTTTAGCAGACAATTGGTCAAAGGATCGACTTCACTTGCTTCTTTAACGAGTTGTGGTGAGGCGCTAAGAATGGCAAAGCTCACTGACGATGCCGGAAAAATGACTGGCAGTGTACTAAATCTACAGTCCGACTCTGTAAATTATCATGCATACTATGGACTCCTAACAGGGTACATTCAGTCAGGTCTTCCTGTCTATATGACCAGGCTGTGAAAACAAGGTTAAACAACTAGTAGCTTTATTTACCCTGAAGAGGCTAAAGAGTTGATGTCGTCGGAAGGTGAATTCGGATTTCATTTGTGTTCTAACTTTAGATTGGTGCGAATACTTCCTCAGCGTACCACTCCGCCAACCCAATGAATCCTTGCTGGTAGACGTCATTACAGGAGGCCATTCTTTGTTATAATTAATCAAAACACGAAGACAACAAATATAACCGGTTGTAATCCCAACCATTTTGTCCACTTAATGTAATGTTTGGATATCTTATGCTTTTCTCACGCTCTTACTGAAAAGTAAATTGGTTGTGGATGACATCTGAACTGGATGCAGATTAAAGTGAAGTTGATACAGCCACTTCATATTTTAGCATGCATGTAGGGAAAGCGTAGGATATCTAACCAAATCATGTGATGTCACGTTAAGTCAACAAAGCTAGACCATAAGAAGTAGGCAAGATTGGAGCCGGCCATCTTTAATATATCCATGCTTTGTCGATCATCTTAAAGGATGGCGTCCTGCTCTGACGATT